AGGAATGCTCAAACTTGCTTATAAGCCTCAGAGAGAAAAGACTGTTTTGGGATTTCTTACTGAAAGGAAGAGAATGGCACAGGGCGATCTACTATTTGGTAATGATGATAATCATGAACACGATGGTTATGGTGAGGGTAATCGTAGTTACTGATGATGGAGTGTGGGGCACCTTATAGATATTTTGTATAAACCTCAAATATGTAAGGAAGTTTGCTAGTCATTTATGGTAGCATTTTAGAGTAGGAAATTAGAAGGTTAAAATGCTGAGTAGCTCAGTCAAAGCACAAGCGTGTAGATCTCTCAGACTTCAACACCTATATTTTTTGTTTGGATTATGCTTCAAATATATAGTTATAATAATAAGGGCTTTGATGCTCACTGGAGCCTTAAGAAAGTATTTCTCCCTTGATATTGGGAGAAAGCTATTTCAGGCATGATCCTTTCCCTAACAACTTTCTTGGGAACAGACATGGTCAGGTTATGCCATAAACTCCCTTGCGGGTTTATGTGCTGGTGTCTCTCTTGATCCAGTTCTCATAGTTGGTGGAAGGAAGTCGGATCAAATAATGCTATCAACATCCAGCTTCCATACAAAACTGGCATCACAGGGACTCCAGGCTGTCACCATTTCAGCCCCAAATAGCTGAAACTGGCTTTTAAAAATCTAGTTTTCGGGACCAGCAGGTGGCATGGTGGTTGAGGTGCTGGACACTCCCACATGGCTGACCATGGTTCGAGTTCCGGACCTGGTGGCTTCCTTTCTCACTTTTCCCTCTCTCTTTTTCCTTCTCTTTGTCTCTCTCTGGGCAAATTAAAATAAATGAGTGAATAAATAAAATAAAATAAATAATTTTTAGAAAAAAAAATCTAGTTTTCAAGTTCTTTCTTGCCAAGCAAAGCACAGGGCCCCTTTCAGCCTTTAGAGTGCCAGCTGGTGCTAGAGGGGCCTCATCTTTCCTGTCCCTCATCCACTTTTACTGTAAATGCACAGTTTTAAGGACTTGTTCGTTGATGGCTCTAGAGAAAGGCTTTCCATGTTATAGGACTTGTGGTGGGAGAAAGTTGTGCCTTTCTTTGTGCAAGGCAGAAAGTCGAATTCCCTGTCAGGGACCCTGCCCTCTTCATTCCCTCATTGCTGCCACCCATTTCTCATCTTGATAGACTCTGGTCTGTGCTTGGTTCTGTATTAAAACCCAGACTCCCTTTTCCCTTGGAACTAGTAGTATAAATTGAGGCTGGTTGGAGGCAGTTTTATTTGTTTGCTTTATTTGCACTTGTCTGGAAAGTTCGCTGCTTTTAAAAATATTTATTCTGTTTGAAAATATTGAGAGACAGCTCATTTGTAAATTGGGTTGTCTAAAGCGGCGGTGTTCTGTTTACTTGTTGGTTAGTGAATACTGACTGAGCTTTTCCAGATGCGTGCAAAACACCACATTGGTGGTAACTAGGGAAGGGGTGGGCACACGCCCTGTCCTCTTGGGGCTTAGAGTCTACAAGGCAGCAAATTAAACAATTGTTGACTATTGAACCCTAGGACAATTTCAACAATGTTCTTACATTTTTATGATGGAAAAATGTAAGAATATGCAAGAGTAGAGAAAATCCACCCAGGTACCCATCACCCAGTTTTGGCAACTTCAGAACACACACAGTCTGGTTTCATGTTTTTCCCCCACATCCTAGATTATTTGGGAAAAGGTTTCCGACATTATATCTAAGTGTGCAAACTTTTTTCTTTTCAATATAGCCACTTAGCAATTAACAGAATGCAGCCAGTATTCACATATCCCCGTCACCTCCCAAATGTTCAAAATAGGATTTAGACAAGGATGCATTTGATGCATCTCTTAATTTTTTTTTTTTTTGGAGAGGTTTTTGCTATAGGGCCCGTGCACTTGCCAGAAAGACAGAGACAGAGAGACAGAAAGCGAGACATCAGCCCCCAGGGGGAATGGCCATACTGCAATCCCTTCTCCTCCATTCTCCTCTCGGGATCTTGGGCACACACGTGCATGCACTCAGCGTGAGTTTAAGCCACCGGGTCTGGGACTCAAACTGCAGTCAACTACATGGGAGTCCAGTGACATAGCTATTACGCCAACTGCTGGTCCCTTAAATCTCTTTTAGTATTTCCTTCTTTTTGCCTCCTTTTCTTAAGAGTTTATCTGTTGACTAAACCATATTGTGTGTTTCATAGAGTTTTTTATGTCTGGGTTTTGTAGCTTGCAGTTGCAAGGTGTCATCATTTAATGCATCTCCCTGTCACCCTCTATTTCCTATAAACTGAAAAGATAAGATGTAGAGGTCGGGTGGGATGCCTGATTCCAGTTCAGTTTTTATGGCGGGAGTACTCATAGGTGGTACTGTCACTTAGAAGGCATGCATTGTCTGGTAGTCTTCTCTTTTTATAAAAGAGATCCGATTTATTTTCAGTATAAAAGAGACCTTAAGATCATTTTATAAAATGATTTGATTACGATGTTCAAGATCTCTTTGTAGTCTTAAAATGGAGGTGCATACCCAGGTGTTCGTTACAGCATTGTCTAGACTTTTTTGTATGCCTGAAATACTCACAATTTTAGAAGACGATGGCAAGAAATAATAGTGGAAGTGAGATGGATTTAAAAACAACTTGGGTGTTTAAATGAACAGGATATTTGGTTAGGTATTAGGCAAGCAAGAAAGAAGGTAGAGCCATCCAGATCAGCCTAGTTCTGGCCGGGAGGTCGGCAGAAGTGGTCTTTATTGTTTACTCAGGTGCATATACCTGTTCACCTGGCTCCCTTTCCAGACTCTGGACCTGGCCTGTTCTCCAGTAAAGCCCTTTCCTCCTGGTTCCCAGGCTATACCTGCATGTAGCTCCCTGACTGCCTTAAACTATGGCACCCTGCAGTCTGACCAGGACCAGGCAGGACCAGACCTTGAGGTGTCCTGAAAGTGAAAATTGGCAAATAGTCCATTAATAAGCCCAAGGTTAATATGCATTACACATTTGACTCTTTATGAATTTTAAAAGGTCTTGCCATCTTTCAAAGCATAAAAATACTTGTTTTTTAAAGTTATTAGAATGGTGGGACCAGCAGTTAGCATAATGACTATGTCACTGAACTCCCATGTAGTCCACCGCGGTTCACCACAGTTCGAGTCCTGGACCCGGTGGCTTAAACTCACGCCGGGCGCATGTGCGTGCCTGCCCAAGATCCCAAGAGGAAAACGGAGGAGAAGGGATTGTGGTGTGGCCATCCCCCCTGGGGAGTGATTTCTTTCTTTCTGTCTCTCTGTCTCTCTCTGTCTTTCTGGCGAGTACACGCGCCCTATAGCAAAAACCTCTCCAAAAAAAAAAAAAAAAAAAGTTATTAGAATGGTTCATGTATAAATGTTTCTTTTTTATTAGTCTTTACATGCTTTATAAACCTGAAACACTTTGTAAATTTATTATTATTATTTTAGTTTTTGCTTAAAGCTATGTTTACTCACAGGAGAGACAGAGAGAGACAGAGAGAGAGAGAAGGAAAGTGAGAAATCTCTCCCCAGCAAGGATGGCCTTGCAACAATCCTTTCTTTATTCTCCCAGGATTGTGGGCACACACTGACATGCATGGGCATGTTTCTCAAACCACTGGGTCTGAGACTCGAACTGCGAACTGCGTAGTCAGCTGTGTGGCATCCAGCACTTTAAACACATCACCTGCTGGCCTTCTAAAAGTTTTTTAATTGACAGGTAACATTATATTTATTTTTATATACATATATATTTGTGTGTGTGTGTGTGTGTGCTTCAACCTGTGATTATCTTGAGAGTAGCCTTCTGGAAATAGACCTCACGCCTTCCCAATTTAAACCCACACGGTGTATTCCAGAGCACACAGGGTAAGGTGGTGGAGGAATTTGAGGTCGACGAGGCCTTCCTGCTCTCCTTACTCTCTAGTGTTTAACCTGCTTCAGCCAAGTGTGTTTCTCCTTGGCAGATTATGATTCCCTGTGTCAAGGACATGCTGTTCCAGAGTCTGGGAAGAGACCTTTCATCAGATTGTAGGACAGTTTATTTTTTAAAGCCTTATCTTGACTTTATCCCTATTGAATTTTATCCTTCTTTCTCCAGATTTCCCACTTACATAGCATAATGACATCACACTGCTTTTCAAAAAATAGATTTAAAAAAGATGTCCTTTTAGCTTTGTAAATTGAAACACGTTTTATCTGAGGTAGAAAACCTGATGTGGGTTGCAGAGGAGACAGGGAAGCGTGGAGTTTCTTTTGCTGCCTCAGAGAGTATTATTGCTAGAATTTGAAAATAGTATAGTTCAGAGGAACTTTTCCAGCTGGCTGATAACAGGTGCCCGCTTTCCATATCTAACTACTTCCCATCAGATTCATTTGGAGAAAGAAGGATATGGAATGTGGAGAGTCCTGAGGAATGATGTACTGTATCATCATATAGTCAGTGATAATAAATACTAAATACAAGATTTTAAATTATTTAGAAATGTGATATATATATATATATATACACACAAACATATACACACACATGCATATATATACACACATACATATATACACACATGCATATATACACACATACATATACGCACATACATACATATATACACATACATATATACACACACATACATATATATTGTAAAATCACTTTGCTTCTCATATAACTCAGCTTTTACAATTCAGGGGAAGATATTTCTGATTTATAAGTTTTAATACTTGTCTATCTACCTTAAGAGTCTGAAGTTATTAAAAATATAAACTCATACTACTGTTCCATTTTTTCCACAAACTTTTTGTAGTCCTCTTGTCTTAGTTGTTAAAGTTTAAATGAGTTCTCTTTATTTACCGTCGGATTGTGGAAGCAAGTTGATGTCCAGAGTTTAGTCATTCCTCTTTCTTATTCTAAATAGGAGTATGCTGTGAACTGCCATGTAATCACCTGGGAGAGGATCATCAGCCATTTCGATATATTTGCATTTGGACATTTCTGGGGCTGGGCCATGAAGGCGTTGCTGATCCGTAGTTATGGCCTCTGCTGGACAATCAGTATTACCTGGGAACTGACCGAGGTAAGAGGGTGTACAGGTCTGTGTGGGCTGCATAGCCTGCATAGTCTGCCTGTGGGAAGAATGTGGTCTGTGTGTTTCAACCCCGCGTTTAAACCATCACATGAGAATATTTTATAGCTTTGTTTAAAAAACAAACCTTCTTTGTTAATAAGTGTGCTTCTATACCACAAGCCTCAAAGAGAAACAAATGAGGTAAAGTTAATATCCTAAGTGAGACAAATAAATGGCAATGAGATCTGCCTAGAAGAATATGGGTCATGGGACCAGCAGATGGCATAATTGTCACTGAACTCCCACGTAGTCTACTGCAGTTCAAATCCCAGACCTGGTAAGTTTTAAGCTAGCGTGTGTGCCCAAAATCCAAAGAGGAGAATGGAGGAGAAGCGATTGAAGCGTGGCTTTCCCCCTGGGGGGATTTATCCCTTTCTATTTCTCTGTCTCTATGGTGAGTGCATGCACCCTATAGCAAAAAAAAAAAAAAAAAAAAAAAAAAAAAAAAAACTCTCTCTTGGAAAAAAATAAAAAGTATATACCCACTAACTAGTTTCCAGTTTAAGATAAATAGAATTGGTTGTTTTGAAATTACAAGGGCATCCAAGGTATTTTGTAACTGAAAAATGGATTCCTGTGTAGCTTCAACATCTCAATAATCAAAAAATTGTTCCACTTAATTAATGGAAGAGATACAGTTCTTTGAAACTGTTAGCAAAATGAAAGTTTGGGAACTAATTCATTATTGTTCAATCATTGTGTTGTCCTTAATCATTTCTAGAGAACAAAATGTGGTCCCAGGCATGATATATTTCATGCTATTAGTCACCGTCCTGACACTAACTTAGAGAAGCAGATATTAGATATAACTTCCGGTATTGTGCCTCTCCCAGCTCTGGAGGCTGGAAGTCTGAGATCCTGGTGTCAGCAGGGTTGATTCTTCCTGAGGACTGTTTTCGAACATCTGTTTCAGGCCTCTCTCCTATCTTTTTGTGATTTTATGGCAGTCTTTGGTGTGCCTTGGCTTATAGGCGCATCACTGCGATCTCTACCTTTATGTTCTCGTGGAGTTGTCCCTGTACGTGGATTAAAGTTTTCGGGTGTTCTTTTTATCATTACTCCAGCCGTGTTGTACTTCGGTATGACCTCACGTTCTTTATATTCTCAGTGAGCATCTCCAAATATCTTCTGAGGCACTGGAGGTTAGAGCTTCAGCATAGGAACTTTGAGAGGACACCACTCAGCCCATCCGTAACAGCAATAAACCAGGGAGAGCTGTGCATGTGTATTCCTATCATGCAGATGCGGGGACCGCAGCTCAGAGCCGTGTTAAATTTGATGAGCCGAGATTGGACTCCAGATGCAAAGCCCACATCCTGCCCTTACACCCTGTTCTACCCTGGAATTCCAAGTGCCTTCATTACCCACTGCTGGGTGGCCTTGGGCAGGGCACCAGGCCTTCCATGGGCTCTCTCTTTCCTCACACCACAGACCGGGCTTTCTTTTGTCCCTTCTTTCACTGTTCCTCCACTTCTCTCCTTTCTGACCCCTCTTTTCTGGTCTCTGCACCTCCTCGTTTCTCATTGACTATCATCTCTTGTCTGAATTACTCATGTCTCTGTACACTGTTAATTGCCAGTTGTGATCTATGTTAGACCTCTACAAGTTCAAGTTCTTCTACTAAAACGCTTTACTGTTTGTCCATTATTTAAAAACAAAAGCAAATTTCTGACCCAGCCAGTAAGACCCAGGGTTAAGGGCCACTGCCTGCCAGCCCCAGCCTCACCAAGCCTCTCTCCACTCAGCCCGCTGTGCTCTGGCCGCATGAACACAGCCTCCCAGCTCCTTGGATTCAGACCTCCCAGAGGCCCATCTCACCCTCAGAACCTGATGCCTTCTAGGAAAGCTCCAGAGATTCACGGGTGGCCTCTGCATCCCACTCCCTCACATAGTTTTGCGTCACTGACTTCTGCTGAAGTTTCTCTCCATCCTGTGGCTTGGAACCTGGGAGTGTACTTGAAGGGTGGCACCAGGCCCCCCAGGGTGGGAAAGCAGCCACAAGCCACCACATGGCAGTCAGTAGCTGTTCTTCCGAGTCTCAGCAGCAGGCACGTGAAGAATAAAAATGGTCATGTTTTTGTATATCATTTTTAAAGTACAAAATGCTTTCATGACTACTTTTTTTATCTTGGCAAAATTTATTATATTACTTCAGAGGTTTGTAGTTTCACGGTTGTCTCTTTCCAGAAAACCCCAAGGCTTTTGTCTTTGTAATTTCACCTTCTTAAATCCACACAACAGGGCATGCCATCTGGACACAGTTGATACACTCATTATTTTGGACAAACCGATTTCCAAAAGACACTTCTATTCTCCCCATGGACCTTACTGTTATGCCTTTCTGGAATGTACTGTCTCTTAAAATCAGTCATTTCTGTCCTTAATGTCCCACTTTTGGCATATTTACAGATGTTTTCTCCAGTTGCCTTTCGAGTGAATCTCTAACTGGTGCCCACTGTACTCCATCTCTGTCACCATGGTAACACTCAACCACAGTCTACTTCATTGTGTGTTTCTGGTCATCTCAGTAAATGTACTACTCCTCCCTTTGACTTCCTATCTCTCACCATCTTACAAATCCTGGATTTGAAAGAAGACTGTCATTACTCTGTTGTGGATCCATTCGTGTGAGATTTCCTGTTACACTGGCAGGTGTCCTACATCATATCAAGACATAACCTTTCTGCTTTTACGATTTATTCACTATTTTGCCTACATTTCTATGGAATATTTCTGAAACATACATGTGAATTCTCAAGTTGCCCATTTTGAGAAATATACCTACACTTTGTGGTAAGATATGAAAACTCTTCTACCTTTCCCCTCCTGGATCCTTATCATGTTGTCATCAGCCAGGGAAATTCAGAGATAGTATTTTTAGAGGGGCTATTTTTTTATTTAAGCCCCATGGCCAAAAAAAAAAAAAAAAAAGTTATTTGGATAAGTGCTCTTGGCAAACCATCTGCAATATAAAAAATAATCAGATTTTCAGACCCTGTTATTATCATTGTTTTTTTTAATATTGGGTCATCAGAATAGTCCTGATGCATTTTTGCATAGAAAAACATAGAAAAATTCTTTAGGACTTTTTTGACTACCCAATACATTAGGAAAAAATGAAATGTTCACAACAACCTTTTCTAAAACGATGTAGTATTAAGAAAGGAACTGTATCGTTCTGCCTGATCCTCCGGTTTTGAGTTGTTGTTCCAGCCAGCATGCCTTGTCTTTTCAGCTTTTCTTCATGCACCTTCTGCCCAATTTCGCTGAGTGTTGGTGGGACCAAGTCATCCTGGACATCCTGTTGTGCAACGGAGGCGGCATCTGGCTGGGCATGGTCGTTTGCCGGTTCTTAGAGATGCGGACTTACCACTGGGCGAGCTTCAAGTGAGTCGTCTTCTTTTTGGACATTTTGTCACAGTTTTGCATAATGTATATTTGAGTGCTTTAGTCGGAGTCAACTTCAGTACAGTCTTTGATATAATGAATTAATTGCACATTGGTAATTAAAACTTACAAGTGATTATAAACCTGATTTCAAGCTTTCGTCCAGAAAATGCGAAATCATTTATGATGTCCTCTTTCTCACCCCGTATATTCAGAGGGTCCTAACACCCTCTTGATTCAAAATGTTTCTCAACTCCATCCCCTCCTTTTTATCCCTGCTGCCTCAGCCTGCGTCGGGACTCCCGTCACTGGATTAATCAGTCCCCTGTCCCCAGGTCCACCCCTCCAAGCCTTCTCTCACCATTGCTTGAGTGACCTTTTAAGAATGTCCAGTTCATCGTGTCATGCCCCTGTGATGGCTTCTCATGGTCTCTAGGACAAAGCGTACATCCATGGGCTGGGCAAGGGAGGGCCCTTCTCTACGCCCTCCCAGGCACCCGAGCATGTGTCCATGCACGTGCTCCTCTCTCTTTTCCCAAGATTTCAACCCTGTTCCCATGGACCAGGCTGCTCATCCTTTTCTTTGCCTGCTCAGCTCACTTGTCACCTCCTCAGCAAGTTGTCTCCGACTCTAGTTTAAGCTGCATGTCCCTCCTCTGGGCGTCCATGGAGGGCAGGGACACCACCGTCATTGCTTTATCTTGCTTCGTTGAACTTGCTTCTCAGCTGGATGAGGGAATGATCAATTGTAGTGAGATGAAAGAAGTAGTTACTTTTATTGTGTTTCAAACTTTATTTTAATCAAATATGAGCATTTCCCCACATCATTAAAATATTAATGCAATTTTAAAGAGCTTTTTCCTATCTCAACATGGATAAACCCACATAGTATTTAACCAGTTCTCTGTATGGTCATCAGATTATTTGGAAATTTTTACTTTTATACAGACTAGAGTGAACGTTCTTGGGCATAGATCTTTGTGTACATCTCTGATATTTTTTTTCCTTTTATGAATAAATTTAGAATACACTCATTTATAATCTTAACTGTAGTGTACACAAAAAAAGTTCATGAGAAAATGGAATTAAAGCACAGCTTATTTTCATGTAAAAAAATCATAATATGCATCCTCCGTGAATTTTTTGAAGGACACCCAACTCCCTCGTGTGTGTGTGTGTGTGTGTGTGTGTGTGTGTGTGTGAGTATCCTTTTACTTTTTGTTAAATTTTATTTTTAAATCATTGTCAATTTTATCTCACATAAAATCATGTAATACAGTCATATGCCACTTAATGACATTTCAGTCCCAGAAGACTACATATACCACAGTGGTCCTATAAAATTATAATAGGCTAGGGGCCAGCAAGTGGTGTGGTAGTTAAGGTGCTGGACACTCCCACATGGCCAGCCATGGTTCGAGTCCTGGACTGGTGACCTGCTTTCTCGCTTTCCCTCTCTCTCTTCCTCTCTCTCTCTCTCTCTCTCTCTGTCTCTCTTTGGTCCAATTAAAATAAAATGAATGAATAATAAAAATTTAAAAATACTATTAAAAAGTTATAATAGGCTAGACCACAAACCCTAGATGTGTCATAGGCTGTCTTATAGTGTGTCTCAGTGATGTTCACACCGGGATGAAATTGCCTAATGACACATTTCTCCGAATGTATTCCTGTCTTTAAGTGCCACATGATTGTATTGGATTTCTACTCTCATATCTTTTGGGTTTTTTTCCTCTCCTATTAGTGCTTTTTATAGGTGAAGGTTATAACACTTTCTCATCAATGTGATTTTTTTTTTCCTTCTATTTTGTCATTCCCTTTTTAATTTACTTTGTGATGGATTTTTCATTAGAACTTCCAAAAAAAATCTTTTAATGCTTCAGTTCAGGTACTGTTAACTTGTATTTTCTTCTAGTTCTTTAAAGGTTTTGTCTTTTTCATTATAGTTAAGTTACTTAACTGATCTCCAATTTATTTTGGTATTTGGTATGAGAGGGAGATTTCACAATGTTTTTGCAATTGATTAACCAATTTCTTTCTATACCTTTTATTAGTAATCCTTTCTTTGGCCACTAACTTAAAAGGATATTTTTCAATACAGTCAAGGCAGTACATAATGTAACAAAGCCAGTAGCCATTCCAGGTATTGCTCCCAACAAGCTTTGTAAGTAGTATTTCACTTGAGCCTTACATCAATCCTAGCGGTAGACACTGTTATTTTCTTCAAGTCAAAGATGACAATACTGAGGCCCAAGTTTAGTGATTTGCCCATGGACAAACAGTTAACAAGCGTCTGAGTCTAAATTTTCCCTGGGCTGTGGTCACTCCTTCAACACTGCCACCACCCTGTTCTGTGTTCATACATTTATGCTTCCAATTTGACCTCAGAATCCTTTTGCTACTTGCCAAAGCATAAACCCAACTATGAAACCAAAAATGCCATTGGCATTTTAAAGATTAGCTGAATGTATCACATAAAATGTATAACTGAATATAGGTTAGTTTAAGTTGAATTAACCTCTTTACGAAAGTAAATATTCTGATTCTGGATCACACTGTGTCTCTATTCCCATCTTCTAGATTTTTCTGTGCACCTCTGCCATTTTCTAAAGTCAAAGTCCTTTGTAGTTCTTATTTGTTTTGGGGTAGTCTCTCATTTTTGTTGCTGTCATGCTGCGAGTCTTGCTGTGGATGTTCTCAGTATGTACTTGTGGATGGACAGGTGGGAGGATGAAGGAACGGACCTGGTTTCCTGCCGCTCTCCCCTGCTCCCAGCCCCCAGAACCAAAGGCCCCGACCTGCTGGTACCTAAGCCTTCAGCACTTAGCACAATGTCTGAGACATAAAGGTCCTTGATATAAATCTTTGTTGAATTAAAGACTCTTTACCAGGTCTTAAATGGTATTTACCTTGGATTTCGGCTCTCCTGGACTAGTATGAGAGGGCTGAATCTGCACCCAGCTCTGATGCTTACGAGGTGAGTCTGCGGCAGCCAGTTCTCTGAGCCTAAATGTTCTCATTTGTAAAACGTGGGACTGTTTGTGTCTATCATGGGAGTACGAAACTTTTTAATTAAGTGATTTCTAGGATTAAAATGAAGAAAGGTTAAATATCACTGTTCATCAACCCAAACTGTTCACTTCTCTGGGGAAGAAATAGGGTAAAGGAATGATGTGGGTGATCTCAAGAACATGGAGCGTGTGCTCTGTTTTCCTAAAATACCCCAGCTGGGGAAAGGAACAGTGAGTGGGAACCGTCTCCTTGCTGGCATCCGCATTCTTCCTGGGCTGATTCCAGATCGTTGTCTTTAATGCCTCTCTGCTTCTTTTGTCACCAATTCACAAATTTTGAGACCTCTCCTGGCTCGGCCACACCCTAACCTCTGACTGTGATGACACTGCTGTGCCGTGCCCGTCATCACTGAAATTCCCCATCGAGCCTGCTTCTGTCAGCCGCTTCACCTGTGTATAGAGAGACCTTTGTTTGAGACCATTCAAATAGAAAGAAATCTTTCTGTTCTGAGCATTTGTTATAAAATCATGAATGCACAGTTTTTTTTTTTTGTTTTTGTTTTTGTTTTTTCTCCCCTTTCCTTGTCTCTCTGGATTTTTCACTGGAGCCATTCTCTTCTTACAGGGACATTCACACCACCACTGGGAAAATCAAAAGAGCCGTGTTTTTGTTTTTGTTTTTTCTCCCCTTTCCTTGTCTCTCTGGATTTTTCACTGGAGCCATTCTCTTCTTACAGGGACATTCACACCACCACTGGGAAAATCAAAAGAGCCGTGCTGCAGTTCACTCCTGCCAGCTGGACCTACGTCAGGTGGTTCGACCCCAAGTCATCTTTTCAGAGAGTGGCTGGGATATACCTTTTCATGATCATCTGGCAGGTACTTATTTTCCTCATGCCCACAGCCAGGCAGAAAAGCAAAATCAGAACCTTCCAGCAATTTAGCGTTCTCATTAGTTCACGTTGCTTACCGACTAGATACTTTGCAAGGTGTAATATCTTACAGTTGGCATGCAGGGTCATTAAAGGAAGTGATGCTTTCTGCCTCAGGCCTTGCTTTGCCGTGAAGACATTGAAAACTATTGTATGGATCTTTGAATTACAGATGAATAATGTTAGATTTCCTGGATAAAAGCAGCGTTCAGCATCCACCATCCAGTGAGTTGGGCAGTGAATGACTTCTTAGAGTGATCATTTCTAAGACCAACAGAACAAATAAAAAGACTTAACTTACGTTCCTCTTTCATTGTTGGAGGGTTAAAGTTGTACCTTCCCTGACCCTTTGGATTCATAGAGCGCTAAGTAAGCTGCCTGTGGGAGATTGGAGGCCTTAGTAATGTCAGTTCTCCACCCCGTTGTCCTCAGTGGAGAGAAGCAACAGTTCTGAGTGGGCCATTACATGAGAGAAGCAAGCAATTCAGATGGCCAAGGGGCTCAGAAAAGGACTAGCAACAACTCTCTTTCTTTTTCTTCCTTTTTTTCCAATTTGCTGTAGGGTACAGGACGGGCCAGAGAGAGAGAAAGAGAGAAAGGGGGAAAGTGAGACAGCATCCCCCCCCAGGGGTTGGCCTCGCCACATTCCCTTCTTCTCCACTCTCCTCTTGGGATTTTGGGCACACACACAAATGCGCCCGGCATATTTTTCAGGCCACTGGGCCTGGGACTAAGGCCAACTAAAGTTGGCCTTGTGGGATTCAGCTGCCTTAACCACCTGGCTGGCCCTATTCATCTTCATTTTCTAATGACAGCTTTTGTTATTTATTTATTTTTAATTTGCCAGAGAGCATATGTGCTCACCAGAGGGAGAGGGAGAAAGCACCCTTCTACACACACAAAGGGACATGGTCATACCACAATCCCTTCTCTATTTCTCTATCCTGTCAGACAAGACCTTTATCCTATCACATATGCCTGGCATGTTCCTCAAACTGCCAAGGCCAGGATTTGAACCCTGGCCGGCCATCTGATCTGATTTCCTTAACCATTAGACTATGAGGCTAAACTTTGTTATTGATCCTCTTTTCTCCAGGTTGTCTCAGAATCTTTGGAGACTTGCCATGAGACTTTTGCATGAAGACTCTTTTAGAATCATTAGATACACTGACACAAAATAGTCCCCAAATAAAGGAAAACCCAGCAGATGTCACTTTTAAGATAGGCAGCCTTCTTTGTGGCTCACACACAAGCCAAGGGACAATCATGTAAACCAAGAATTGGCAAATAGCTGATGCCCTGAGACCCCATGATACCCTAACTCCCCACCAGCACCTCACTCTGGACTCCCAGTTGGTCAGTACCTGTTTGTACTGGCTGTTAACTAGCTCGAATAGCAGCCCTGGAAGACCCCATATATCTTCTCAAAATGCTTTGACTGTCTCAGTTATTCTTAGCTGTAGGATGTCTATTTGCAGACTGTATGATTGTGACGAGCATGGAAGTATGAGGTTGACTAATTTCTCCTCCTTTTTTCAGCTGACCGAATTGAATACCTTCTTCTTGAAGCATATCTTTGTGTTCCAAGCCAGTCATCCATTAAGCTGGTGTAGAATTCTCTTTATTGGTGGCATCACGGCTCCCACAGTGAGGTAATTCTGTACAAGCCTGGCTGTCATTTGAGGACATTACCCTTCTTTATGTTGTCCCATTTAGCGTAAGAGAAGTTACATAAGCTAACAGATTTTCGATGAAGATACCATTTTAAAGAATTACACACCCAGAATGTGAAGAAAATGTTTTTCTCTCAGACCCAGTAACATTACTGGGGTGCTAAAAAAGAAAGTGAATAATCAACCCCATACCAGTAGTTCTATCCATTATTTTCAAACCCATTTGTAGTGTTTTACTGCTGGTCATTTTTCTCCTATAATAACATATTTAAAAAATTTGTAGCAGGGATGCTAAGTGTTTTGGAATGAGATTATTAGAAAATATGAAAGTGTTGTCATGGTAGGACTGTAGTTATAAATGACATTATTTTTAGAATAAGATTTGATTAGCTTTTTTTAGAACCAGTTGAGTTAATTTCCTTTTTGTTCTTCTGCAGTCCTCCCGGACAGCTGAGATGAGTTTGGGTGTTCAGGCCATTATTCTCCTAGATTTACATAGGGTCCTCGAGGTGAGGAGTTATTCACAGACATCCCCCATGGACGCTGGTCCAATGAAGTTCAAAGTAAAACATGTTCATTTGTCTCATTTTTCTTCTTTAGAAATGGCATTTGGATTTTCACTAATATGGAGAAGTAGCATTGATCAGTTGCTGTCATACCAAAGATCAGCCAAAAATAAAAATATAAACCAAGCAGTTAAGAGAGGCACCTTTTTGGAACCAGGCTCATAGCACAGTGGTTAGGAGTTGTACATAGATTACAGTGGATAAACTTGGGAAAGGCTACCCACCCATCTAATCAATGCCAATACGTAGTGTTAAAGAAAAGGGTGCAGGCCCCAAATGGAGGTTCCACATCATCACATCCAAACCTAAACTAATTACTTATAAGACCAGACTTTTTGATTAGCCAGGAGAGAGTTGACCTTCTGAGAATCAGAAGATACCAGCTATATTCCATTACGCCAAGGAGATTTTTTTGGTTTGTACCCCTGCAAGGTCAGTAACCTTGAAACTATTGATCCACTACTTGTTCATTGTCCATATTTTCTCCTTTTTTTTTTTGGAGAGGTTTTGCTTTAGGGCACATGCACTCGCCAAAAAGACACAAAGAGACTGAAAGAGAGAAATCACCCTCCTCGGGTGATGGCCACACCGCAATCCCCTTTCTTCTGCTCTCCTCTTGGGATCCTGGGCACACAGGCACATGCGCCCAGCGCAAGTCCCAAGCCACCAGGTCCGAGACTTGAACCACAGTCTACTACATGGGAGTCCAGCGACACAGCCATCACACCATCTGCTGGCCCCTTTTCTCCATTTGTATGTATCTATATAATAGTCTTTTCCCTCTCTCTCTAGCTCATCGGAGCTCCTTTCTCTCTGGTAGAAAGGAGATGGATGCTGCCCAGTTCATGAGTCACTAATAAAAGGCAATTAGATCTTAGAAACTTTAAAAAAAAAAAAAAAGGAGTTGGACATAGAAAGACCACAGGGCTGGCTGCAGCTTGAATCCCAGCCCCAGTGGCTTTGGAAACTTACTGGGAGTGGTTTATGCATGTCCAGAACCCTGACAAGAGGGAGAGATGAAGGAAAGGGGACCGCAGTGTGACTGCCTCCCACTGGGGAACATCTCTCTCTCTCTCTCTCTTTCTCTCTTTCATGAGCATATGTGTACTCTGGAATTAAAAAGAAAAATCGTTGAAAAAAATTCTTAGCTTTTCAGAAGCTGTGGGATTACTGAGGTGTTTGTTTTAGTTTGCATGTGCCCACCAGAAAAAGAAAAGGAGACAGAGAGAGAAAGTGAGAAATCACACGCCAGGGGTCATGGCGATGCTTGGCGTACTTGGCAGCTTGACTTCTCACCTTCTTTTTCTCTCTCTATCTCTCTCTCTGTCCCTCTCTGGTCAAATTAAAATAAGTAGATAAATAAAGTTAAATAAAATAACTCAAAAAAAAAAAAGAAATAAAAATCCAATGTTTTGAACTTTAAATTTGCCAAACCATATGGATTTCTACACAAGTCTTTATTTTGTTTGTTTAAAAATCAGCCACTGTCAGTGCTCTTAATGCTGCTTGAAACAGTTCCCATGTAAGGAGGTGTTTTGACAAGTTACTTGGAAAGAGGGAAACGCTCTAGTGGATTTTAGCATAGCTATAAGAGAGAAAGCTTGTAGGTTCCAGCATAAATTGTATAGACCATGTCTCCATTTTTTTCTTTTGTGACTGGACTTTCACCCAAATCCGCTTTGAGAAGATATTTGAGTGACAGTCTCTTAATCTGACAATATAAAGTATAATTTAGGGAGATGAGTGCTGTTAGTGGGTAAATTAGTTGAACTAATAAATGCAAATTACGTAACAATGTAAAGTTAGAGGAAAACCTACTTTTTTGTTTTTGTTTGTTTCTTTGTTCATGATAGAGCACGTAATGCCTGTGCACATGAAAATGAGAGAGAGAAAGAGAGGAGCACTTTTTACAGGGTCTGGTCACCCTGCAGTCCCCTTCCTCCATCCTCTAGCCCATCATATCTTGAGTACTCACAGTAGTGCCTGGCATGAGATTCTGACCAGGCCAGGGATTCAAACCACAGTTGTCACGGGGAATCCAGTCTCTCGAACAGCACATCACCACTACATTCTTTATAACTAGAATTCCCACCCAGTCTTGGGAGCGAGAAGGAAGCAGTAGTTCATGGATGAGCTTTAGGTATCTCAATCCCATGGAGTTTGTGCCTTTATCATAGTTTTTAATCAAGTCCTCAAAGCCCACAGAAGATGAGTTCCGTCGTTTAGATGCAACTTCTGAAGGGGTGGATTGCGTTTCAGGGATACTTAGGGAACCATACACTGCACTGCCCCACTCACCACGTGTGTCTCTGGAGCACTAGAAAAGTGGCCAGTCCACACCAGATTTCAGAGTTGGTACAAAACCAGTTTAAGATAACTCACTATAATTTTTTTTTCACTATAGGGCGTGTGCGCTCGCCAGACAAACAGAGAGAGACATAGAGACAGAAAGCGAGAAATCACCCCTCCAGGGGGGATGGTCACGCCGCAATCCCTTCTCCTCCATTCTCCTCTCGGGATCTTGGGCACGCACGCACACGTGCCCGGCGTGAGTTCTAAGCCACCGGGTCCGGGACGCAAACCGCGGTCGACTACATGGGAGTCCAGCGACAGCCATTATACTAACTGCTGGTTCCCGACTCACTATAATATTTTAATATATAGGTTTAAACATGGGTTTAAATAACATGTTACAAAATTATTTTTATATATTCCTTTTTACTTTTTTTTAAGAATTATTTATTATTAGCTTTATATTTTGACTTGGTATAATCATCAAAGAGAGAGAAAGAGAGAGTGAGAAGGAAGGTGAGAAAGCTAGCTGCCAGGTCCGGAACTTGAACCAATATCGGCCATGTGGGAGTCCAGCACCTTAACCACCATGCCACCAGCTGGCCCAAACTTTCCTTTTTACTTTTAACATGGCAGCTGGAAATTTTTAAATGGCATCTGTGGTTCATTTGTACAAGAGGGACTTTAAAATTTTCACGGGAAAATGGAATTCAAGTATGAGTTTAAAAAAATACATGTATAGGGAACCAGCAGTTAGGGTAATGACTATGTCACTGGACTCCCACATAGTCGACCGCAGTTTGCATCCCGGACCCGGTGGCTTAAAACTCACGCCGGGCGCGTGTGCGTGTGTGCCCAAGATCCCGAAAGGAGAATAGAGGAGAAGGGAGTGTGTGCGGCGTGACCATCCCCTCTGGGAGATGATTTCTCGCTTTCTGTCTCTATGTCTCTCTCTGTCTGTCTGGCAAGCGCACGTGCCCCATAGCAAAAACCTCTCCAAAAAAAAAAAAAAAATTGTATAATTTTTCATATTGTGTATTTTCCATGAACTTTTTGAAGACTCCATATTGTATTTCTGCTGGACAGTGCTGCTGTAAGCATTTCAACTCCGTCATTGTCTCTTTTGTCTGATTGTGTCAGTGACATTGAAAGTCATTGGCATTCACTGCCAATGAAGTGCAGTGAGGTCCCATTCCAGTTTCTGGAAGCCTAAAATGTTTGCGTCCTTACCTGATCATAATCAGCCACCTTTGTCCTGGATAGAGCCACAATATCAATTAATGAGCCATGCGTTTGACCTGGAATCACCTCCACAGAGCTGGAGACTGAAGCACCCACTTGGGGTTACTTTGGCTCCGGACTGTGGGAGTCTGTCACTGAATCAGGATCACCTTTGCCAATAATCTGGCTCTTGAAACTGCTCCTCTCCTTCCAATCTAACCTGAGTTCTAAATTTCTTACAGGAACATTTCTTTTCCCTTGAAAAGAACTAGATCAAGCAGCTCAAGTACATGGACTAAGGCGGGACATTTTTTATATATTCACTCTGTAAAGTGATTTAATTATATACTGATTTGTTGGTCTTCAGAATCACTTAACGAATTCCATCTTTGTTCTTTCAGACAGTACTATGCTTACCTCACTGACACACAGTGCAAGCGCGTAGGAACACAGTGCTGGGTGTTCGGGTGAGTAATCTGTTATCCAGGAGATTGAAAAACCACTAAAAACCTTTAAATCTCTACAATTATTTCTTGATCCTCTGCCAAGTGCTAAATGCCTTTCGGTGCAATTTTCCTCTGAAGGCAGGTAAACAGGTTTGCTGTTCTTTGACATCTCTCTTGTCTCTTTTTAATTTTTGCCAGAGTGTGTGTGTACCCTCCATAAAGAGTTCAATGGAGCATGGTCATGCCACAGTCCTTTCTTCATTCCTCAACCTATGGGGATTTGGGGGCACTAATGCACACATGTCAGATGTGTTTTTCAAACCATCGGGACCGGGATTTGAACCATGCAGTCAGTCATGTGAAATCTTGCTCCTTAAACCACTAGGCCATGAGGCCAGCCCTCTTTCCTCTTTAGTATTCCCTTTCCTAAGTGAAGAATAGTTAATTGATGGGACAGCAGGCAATGTGGAGGTTAAGGCAATAGATCCCACGTGGTCAACATCATGATTCAAGTCTTAGACCTAAGCAGCTTAAGACACGCTGGGTGCATTTGTGTGAGTGCCCAGAGTCCCAAGGAGAAACTGGAGAAGGGATTGCAGTGTGGCCATGCCCCAGCCCCGCTGTGGGCTGATTTCTCACTCTACTCCACTCCCATTTCTCCTGGGCAGATCCCCTATATCACAAAAAATAATAAAAAGGAAAAGAATAGTTTCTTGGCATATAGTAGAGCATAGAAACTACTTTTTTTTTTTTTTAAATGGAAGTATTAATAACAAGTCAGAAGATCTTTCACACATATAGCTTGAAGATCTTGTTTTATAAAATGCATTAAATGGAACATGGACTGTTCAAATTTCCTCCAAATGTATTTTGAGTTTGAGACATTACCCTGTCACGGTCTTGCCCATAGTTCATGTTAGTTTTGCATCAAAAGGGACCCCTTGAGACAGCTGCTTGCTTGACACTGAAGGATAATTTTTTTTCACGGCCGAAGGAGAGCATTTTATTATCTGGACTTACAGAAAACAGCCGTGTCCATTTAGCCCACTTCAGTGGCATGCTGTTAGCCTTTGCCTTTTCCAGCTTGGTAACAAGAGCCACAGGCTTTGGGCCCCAGGACGTTGCCTCCCTGGTGATGGTGGATTTTGCCATATCTGTTGTTGTAATTGGACCTGATCACTTCCACCAGCTTAGCCAGAACACCTTTGTCTTCCCGGTTAACCTGTGTGAAGGTGACAGTGGTGCGATTTTCCTGTGGACCAGGCATCCCAGGCTGGCTTTCCCCTTGAGAATGCAGTAGGGAACCCCCCTCTTTAACACAAAGCAGGCAGCAAGGCAGCCAGCTAGATGAGGTCCTCGTCATGAGCAGTCACCACCAGCTCAGCCTTCTTATTCTCCACCAAGGTGATGACTGTTAACCCCTGGAAGAATAGGCACCCTTTTACTGGGGACATCCCTCTTACTGGCAGCTTTGTTTTTAGCCCAGACCAGCTGATGCTGCTGCTTCTCTTATTTTGCCCCCGGCCTGTACTTGTGAGCCGGTTTAAGCAGTTGACTAGCTGTCTGGAGGTCCAGGGCTTGGGTGAGCTGGGTAATTGCAGGAGGTACTTTCAGCCGCTCATAGAGGAGTGCCCTCTGCCTCTGTAGGGGGATGTAGTAGGGCCATTTGATGAAGGGGCGAGGTCCCTTTTGGGCTGGATGTCCTGTTCTATGCCAAAATTCTTAGGCCTTTTCTCAAACATAATTTACCACTTTCTTGGCCTCCCACTTCTTCGTCACATCCGGGGCCAGAGCCTCCTTCCCCTTGGCCTTCTTTCCCTTCAGCATCTTGGGCGACTGGAGGAGACACTGAAGGATAACTATTATTCCAAAGAGAGTGAACATAGCCATATATTCATAATTTATTGTTGCAAATTTTTATATAGAATAACTCTTTTCCAGTTATTTTTATAATGTAGGCATGTGAGCAGAAATTTAAAAGAATATGGAAAAAATTGAAGATCATTCCAAAAAAGTTAACCATTCAGAGATCTTTGCTGTTATTATTTCGAGGTCATTTCTTCCATGAATTTTTCTGCGTGTGTGTGTATTTGCGTGTGTGTGTCTAGCTCTCATTCCAGATTCTGAGGGGTTCCCTATGATTTTAAAGGACATAAATGTTGATGTGCCAAGTTACATTTAGGCAGGTCCTTTCTCACCCCAAGAAGACAAAGGGCCATTGTCATGTGTTTCTCATAAACTCTTTGGTATAAGCTGATTTTCCTACCCAAAGTGATCACAGGATACAGGGAGATAAGATGTATTCCATTTCTTTTGTTTAGTAATGGAGCAGGAATTTACCCACCTATCAAATTTCTTTCTTTTTTTTTTTTTAATTATTTTCTTTAACTTTATTTATTTATTTTTCTGAAACTTTTAAAAATTAATTAATTTACATTCATTCCCTAAGTATCATCACAGCATACAAAATGTGATTTCTCATCCAGAATATACTGCATAGTGGCTTAATCATGCATGTTATTGTCAATAATTTTCCATTTCTAGGTTCATATATTTTATATATATGTGTGTGTGTGTGTGTGTGTGTGTGTGTGTGTGTGCATGAGTGTGCGTGTGTGTATTTTACCCCTATTTCTGACCCTCTGCCAGTTCCCACACTCCACTCACACTATCTCTGCTGTCTACAGTTGTTTTCAATTCATTTTTCCCCCACATTTTATTGATCACACAATTTCTTATATAATCTACTTTCAATAGCAAGTTCAGCTGTTAATTTCAAGAAAAGCAAAAACTTTAATAAATCAAAGAAATGCTAAGGAACTTTGCTTAGAACTTAAAGCCAGGAAACAGGTTAGGATTCTGTTCAAATAGTAGATACATGAACCTATCAACAGCTCAGCTCAATACAAAAATCCTTAAAACTGGCAAACAAAAAAATCAGCAATTTTTTTATTTGAGAGGTTTTTGCGATAGAGTGCATGCGCTCACCAGACAGACAGAGAGACAGAAAGCAAGAAATCACCCCCCAGGGGGGATGGCCATGCTGCAATCCCTTCTCCATTCTCCTCTTGGGATCTTGGGCACGCACGCACACGTGCCTGGCATGAGTTTTAAGCCACCAGGTCCAGGACTCGAATTGCAGTTGACTCCATGGGAGTCCAGTGACATAGCCATTACACTAACTGCTGGTCCCAATCAGCAATATTTTAGTCAAAAGTCATAAAATACTATTTCACCAGTTCAGTCTCATGTACTTAATGTGTCTTCTGTTGTATTCTATCTTCCTGATTAAATTCTGTGATATTAAATTCTTGTCCCTATGATTAAGTTGGTCATTTTCTTAGTTTTTGAACTCTTATTTCTGTGTCTGTATTTAATTCTCCTGGTATAGCACTCCATTGAGAACTTTGTGGAGTTCTGGTCTGGTGTTGGTAAATTCCTTCAGGTTTTGTTTATCTGAGAATGTTCTTATCTTTTCTTCCCATATGAAGGATAATCTTGCCAGGTACAGTATTCTTGGTTGAAATTGCTTTTTCCTTAGCACTTTGAATATATGAGAGGTCTGCTGTTAGCCTGATGGGATATCCTTTGTAGGTAACTTGCCCTTTTTCTCTTGCCAATCTTAGTATCTTGCCTATGTCTGTGATTTTGGTCAATCTGGCTATAATGTGTCTTACAGAAGATCTTTTTGGGTTGATTCTATTTGGGGTCCTTTGTAATTATTGGGACTAGATTTTGAGTGCCTCTCTAGGTTTGGAAAATTTTCTTGAAGGATTTCATGGAATAGATTATCAATGCCCTTATGAGTCTCTTCGCCTTCTGAGATACCAATTATATAGATGTTTGGACGTTTGATGGTATCTGGTATTTCTCATATATTATTCTCATTTTGGGGGGCAATTTTCTCAGTCTTTGTGGTGGATTTTTCTAGGCCAGCAATTTTCTCTTCTATATCTGAGATTCTATTTTCTGTATGATCTAGTCTGCTTTTAATACTTTCAAGGGAGCTTTTGAGTTCCTGTATTAAAGTCCTCATCTCTAACAGGTCCATTTGATTCTTTCTTAAAGTGTGTCTTTCCTCTTTTAGATCTTGCAAGAATTTCCTGACCTCCTGAAACTCATCAGCTCCTTTCTCCTGCCTCTTCTGAAGTTCTTTGTCTCTCTTCTCGTCCATCTCTGTTAGCTTCATCATGAATATTCTAAATTCTTTATTAGACATTTCCATGATTTCCATTGAACTGTCTGTGGATGAAAAGGAGTTATTCTTTTCCCTTGAAGGAGAGGTATTTTCTTGCTTTCCCATATTTCTTGTGGCCCTGCGGTGATTTCTAGTCATTTGATGGATGGTGTGTTTCTTCCTAATTCTTGAAGTTCAATCTGAGCATTTAGGAGCATGCAGAAGGAGGTGATCAGGAATCTCTTTGCCGTTCTGTTTTTATCCCTTTGTTCAGCAGATTCAGTGGATATTGAGGAATATGTTAACCCTAATAGTATTTGGATGCTTGGCTATGGTTCCCTTAGATCCGTCTAGAAACACAGAGACTAGAGATTGAGGAGCAGAGTGATGAGATAAAAAGAAAAGGAAACAGAGAGAGAGAAGAAAAATAATAATAATTAAAAAAAAAAACACAAAAAACAGAGAAAAAGAAGGAAAAATTTTTATTATTTTTTTTAAAAGCAAAAAATAAAACACTGCCCAGCCTGTAATCACTAGTTCTCAGGAGCCATGGAGGAGTCTTCTTCTGAAGGCCTGTCCCTTTTGCCCCTGGATGGGCAGGGGGAAGGGGATATTAGCAAGATAAAGGAGGAGCTGAAAGCCAGGAGAATACTTTACCTTAAAAAATTTTATGAAAGGGGAACCAGCAGTTAGCGTAATGACTATGTCACTGGACTCCCACGTAGTTGACCGCGGTTCGCCTCCCGGACCCAGTGGCTGAAAACTCACACCTGGTGCATGTACGTGCATGCCCAAGATCCCGAGAGGAGAATGGAGGAGAAGGGATTGCAGTGTGACCATTCCC